CATCCCCACTGTCACATCTCTGGTGTCACATCCCCACGGTGACCACGGGGACAGCCCAAGTCTCTCTTCCTGCAGAGCAGCCCGGGTGTCCCCACGATCCCCCACTTTGCCCCAAGCCCTGCTGCCCTTTCCCCCATTCCCGGACCATCCTGGTGCCCACCATTACCTGATCCCCCCGGCTCCATCAGAACCAAACCCCTCCTTCCCTTCCGGAGCCACCCGGGGATGGCAGAGCTCCCTCCCCTCCCTGTGCGAGGGTGACCCCGAGCAGCAGCCCCGGGCGAGGTCACACCGCGACCCCGCTCTGGCAGCACCGCAGCGGCTCCCGGGGGTGCGGGAGGATGGAGGGAGCACCGGGAGATCCCGGCAGGTGCATCCCGCGATGTGTGGGCGGTCCCGGGGCTCCGCAGGCCCCACGCACCYGCCAAGAGCCGGGGCTGGCGGCTCCCGTGGTTCCCGGTCCCTGCCGGCCCCACAGGTGGCTCCCGGTTTCTGTGGCCGGTAGCCCCCCGCGCACCCGTGGCTATCGGTCCTGGGGGCCAGGGAGCGCACCCACGGCCACCCAACCCATGGCCCCGTGACCCGTAGCCGCCGCGGGCAGCAGCCCCGGGGCTGGGGCAGCTCCCGGCTCCCTGCAAAGCCCCGGTGCCCCGGGCCCCGCCGGTGCTACGGGCCCCGTGCCCCGGGCCCCGCTCCGGTACCGCCCGTGTCCCCGGTGCTGCTGCAGGACCGGTGCCGGTCCATCCCCAGGGCCAGGGCAGCTCCCGGTGCCGGTCCATCCCCGATTTTGATACAGCCCCGGTGCCGGTCCATCCCCGGGGCCAGGACAGCTCCCGGTGCCGGTCCATCCTCAGGGGACAGGACAACGCTCGGTGCCTGTCCATCCCCAGTGCTGATCCATCCCCGATACCGGTACAGCCCCGGTCCGGTCCATCCCCGGGGCCCAGGACAGCTCTCGGTGCCGGTCCATCCCCGATTTTGATACAGCCCTGGTGCCGGTCCATCCCCGGGGCCCAGGGCAGCTCTCGGTGCCGGTCCATCCCCAGTACTGATCCATCCCCCGATACCGGTACAGCCCCGGTGCCAGCATATCCCCGGGGCTGGTCCATCCCTGGTACCGATCCGCCTCCGGTGCCAGCGCACCCCCGGTCCGGGACATCCCCCAGTACCGGTGCTCTCTTCCCGGTGCCAGTAACCCCCCGGTGCCGGGGTATCCCTGATACCGGTACAACATCGATACCGCTACAGTGCCGGTGCCGGTACAACCCCGATATCGGTACCCCCGGTGCTGGTCCATCTCCAGGGCTGATCCATCCCCCGATACCGGTACAGACCCGGTGCCACTAATCCCCGGTGCCGGTATAACCCCAATATCGGTACCCCCGGTACCGGTCCATAACCAGTGCTGATCAATTCCCCGGTGCCGATACAATCCCGATATCGGTACCCTACAGTGCCCGGGGTGCCCCGGACACGGACACAACCCCGGTGCCGGTCCATCCCCATTGCTGATCCATCCCCCGGTGCCGGTACCACCCCAATATCGGTACCCCCGGTGCCGGTACAGTCCCGGTGCCGGTATAACCCCGATATCGGTACCCCGGTGCCGGTCCATCCCCAGTGCTAATCCATCCCCCGGTACCGATACAACCCCGATATCGGTACCCCCGGTACCGGTCCATCCCCAGTGCTCATCCATCCCCCGGTGCCGGTACAACCCTGATATTGGTACCCCCGGTGCCGGTACAACCCCGATATCGGTACTCCCGGTGCCGGGGTACCCCGGATACCGGCACACCCCCGGTGCAGGTCCATCCCCAGTGCTGATCTATCCCCCGGTGCCGGTACAACCCCGATATCGGTACCCCGGTGCCGGTACAGTCCCGGTGCCGGTGCAACCCCGATATCGGTACCCCGGTGCCGGTCCATCCCCAGTGCTGATCTATCCCCCGGTGCCGGTACAACCCCGATATCGGTACCCCCGGTACCGGTCCATCCCCAGTGCGGATCCATCCCCCGATGCCGGTACAACCCCGATATCGGTACCCCCGGTGCCGGTACAGTCCCGGTACCGGTACATCCCCGCCGGTACCGGTAAAGCCCCCGCTGCCCGCGCACCCCCCTGTGCCGGTCCATCCCCGGTGCTCCCCCCGGCGCCGCTCCCCGCCCGTCTCCCCCGGTGCCCGCCCGTCCCCCCCGGTCCCTCCCGGTCCCTCCGGGCCGTACCGGGGCTGCGGCGGGGCCGGCGCCGCCCGGGTCGCGCATCAGCGGCGGGGCGGCCGCGGGGCCATTTTCTGTGCGGAGCTGTCGCGAGAGCGGGGGGAGGAGGAGGAGGAGGAGGAGGATGACGGGGGGGAGGAAGGAACGTGCGGAAGGGCGGGCGGGGGCCTCGGGGGGAGGAATCGGCCCCGCCCCATCCTCCCCCCGGCTGCTTTTCCCGGGGGATTTCCCCCAATCCCGCATCTCGGTGTCTGTGGGCAGCTGGAGCATCCCGGAGGCTTTGGAGCATCCCGGGAATTTTGGAGCATCCCGGGATTTGGGGGCATCCCGGAATTTTCGCGCATCCCGGGATTTTGGGGCATCCCGGAATTTTGGACCATCCCGGCGGCTTTGGAGTATCCTAAAGGAGGAAAGACATCGGAGCATCCTGAAGCCTTTGGAGCATCCCAGGGCCCCTGGAGCATCCTGGGGTCTTGGATCATCTCAGGGGCTCAGAACATCCCGGGGGCTCAGAGCACCCAGAGACTGGAGCATCCTGAGGGTCTTGGAGCATCCCGGGGCTTTTGGAGCATCCCGGGGCTTTTGGAGCATCCCGGGGATTTGGAACATTCCAGAGACAGGGGCCATGGAGCATTCTGAGGCTTTTGGACTTTCCTGGGGGCTTTGAAGCATCTGGGGACCCCCAGAGCATCCCAGGGCTTTGCCATGTCCTGGGGGCTTCAGGGCATGGCAATCCCTTGGAGCATCCGGCCCCTGATCCCTTGGAGCATCCCAGGGCCCTCTGAGCACCCCAAGTTCTTGGGACCACCCCAGACTCCTGGGACCACCCCGGATTCCTGGGACCACCCCTCCAGCTCACGGGTGGCCCTGAGGAGCAGCCCAAGGCCCTTGGGACCCCCGGGATCCTCAGAGCAACAGAAGCCCCTGAGAGACCCCAAACCCCCAAACCCCTGGAGCATCTGGAACCCTCTGGAGCACCCCAGGGAGTGTAGCTGTGCTCCCACCCGGGAGCATTCCTGGGGTGCTGCCCCCCATTCCCTCTTCCCCAGCCCCCAGGAAGAGCTGGAAGGTGCAGGGAGAATTTTCCTTAATCCCCAGAATTTTCACAACCCCCATTTTTCATTAAAATAAACGCAGAGCTGCCTGCTCCCCACTCCCCCTTGCACTCTGCCAGGCAAGGACTCCTCAAAACCTGTGATTTACAGGAAAAATCACCCCGAGGACCGCAGAGGCTGAAAAACCCCACAATGGAACCACCATTTCCAGTGGTGAGGATCCCATGGGGATCTTCCCATCCCAGTGGGGTCCTGCCCTCTGTTACCCCCACCCTGGAGGACACCGGGTCCCCTGGGCGCTGCTGGACCCCCAAATTGGAGGTGGGGAGGTCTGAGTGACCACGGGAGTGGGGGCTTGGGAGGGAGGAAGAGGAGGGCTGGGATTTGAGGCTGAGGCAGGGCTCTGTGAGATCATGGAGGAAGAATAGGAGGGCTGGGATGTGGGATCAGAGAAGGAGGAAGAGGAGGGCTGCGAGGTGAGGCCGAAGTTGGGCTCTGTAGGATCAGGGAGGGAGGAAGAGGAGGGCTGAGATGGGTGGTGGGGATGAGACAGGGCTTTATAGGATCAGGCTGTCAGTGGGATCAGAGAGGGAAGAAGAGGAGGGTTGCGAGGTGAAGCTGAAGCTGGGCTCTGTAGGATCAGGGAGGAGGAAGAGGAGGGCTGGGATGTGGGATCAGAGAAGGAGGAAGAGGAGGGCTGGGATATGGGATCAGAGAAGGAGGAAGAGGAGGGCTGGGAGGTGAGGCTGAAGCTGGGACTCTGTGGGATCAGAGAGGAAAAGGAAGGCTGGGATGTGGGGTTGAGACTGGACTCTGTGGGACCAGGCTGTCAGTGGGATCAGAGAGGGAGGAAGAGGAGGGCTGGGATATGGGATCAGGGAAGGAGGAAGAGGAGGGCAGTGAGCTGAGGCTGAGGCAGGGCTCTGTAGGATCAGGGAGGAGGAGGAGGGCAGTGAGCTGAGGCTGAGGCAGGGCTCTGTAGGATCAGGGAAGGAGGAAGAGGAGGGCAGTGAGCTGAGGCTGAGGCAGGGCTCTGTAGGATCCGCCTGTCGTCACTTCCTCCGGCGCRGGGCCGGGCGGGCGGAGCGGGTAGCGGGGTAGTGCCGGACATTCGCCGGACATTCCCGCCCTGTTCATCCCTTTCCCTGCCGAAACTCCCCTGAAGCAGCCCCGGGTGGAGAATCAGCCCCCACCCCACACCCCAGCCCACCAAACCCCGCTGTCCCACGTCCCTGGGGGTTTGGGGTGTCCCTGGATCCCGGAGCCGAGGATGGAGGTTCCCACCCCATGCACCGACCCTGACCCTCCATGGATGCCTCCGCAAACCGAGGGGGCCCAGCACCGCCAGGAAAAGCTGTGACAGCTCCATGGGCTCTGTCTGAGATCCTCGGAGCTTTTCCTGGCAGGAATCAGGGAAAGGTGACAGCTCCCGTCCCTGTTCTGCCTTGTCCCTGCCCCGGCCGCGCTGAGCAGCCCCGGGGCCGCCGGGATGTGGAGATTCCTGAGCCGGATTCCTGGCAGAGCTGCTTTGATGTTCAGCATTTTTGGGGGTGTTCGGGGCTGCCTCTGCTCTGTGTGTGCCCACGCCACAGCTTTTGTCACGGCAGCAGCGGGAAGCGGCACCAGGGGGAAACACCAGCCCCAAACCCAATATCAGAGTCATATTCGCCGAGTGTGGTTTTTTTTTTTTTTTTTTCTTTTTTTTTTTTAATATTTACCATCATTATTAACAGTGATTGCCTTCACAGCACGGAGTGGTTTGAGTCCCAGGGTACGAACAAGCAGCAAAGAGCCCGTCCTTGCTGCAGGGATGCCCCCAGCTCAAAAAGGGGAGGTGGGATTCGGTCACAGTCCGGGGGCTCGCCGGGGAGCGCTCGSTCCGTGCCAGCGTCGGTGGGAAAACATCCCGGAGCCACCCCTGGCGCCTCGGGCACAGCCTCCAGAGGTGGGGTGGGAGGACGGCGACCTCCTCCTGTCCTCTGGCTCAGATCTTCTGCACGTAATTCCCCGGGAAAAGCCCTTCCCTGCCGTGCAGCCGGCCCTTCCACCAGCCGGACGCGTCTGGGGAGAGACGCGAGTGAGGTGCGGGGCCAGCGCGGCGGGGAGAGGAGCCGGGAGGGGCAGGAGGCCGCTACCTTCCAGCAGGATGTCGATGACCTCCCCCTCGTTGAAGCTGAGCTCGTCCACGTCCTGCCCGAGGTATTGGTAGAGCGCTCGGCAGCGCGGCCGCTCCGCCTTGGGCTGCGGCTTGGGGCGCCGGGCCGGGGGCGGCCGCTGGCTCACGCTGCGCCGGCGCTGCATCCTGCGGGGGGCAGGGAGGGGTCAGTCCGGCCGGG